ACAAACAGGACTTTAATATCACCAACCATTCCCATGTTATTACGGTGTATTCATATAAATGGCCCATTCTGTAGTTTGATGGAGAAACGACGTGGCTGAAAAAAGCGAGTGCAGAAAAGCTATAAGACATACGATGTAAAAATAAACCTCCATGTCTACTACTGCTGACTCATATTGACACTTCGCTCAAAATGTAAAAGAACCCACCCACCACTTTAATTACATTCTGGATCTTGTTCTGACATATGGCATAGAAACTTAACAGTGTTTCCTGAAAACCCACTTTTGTCTGATAATTCTTAATAACATTTAAAATTACAATAATGGATTATAAAGCAGTGGGGAATACATTTCTTTGCAGTATATGTCTTTGTGAAAGTACTTTAGTTAAATTTTAGGATATAATTCCTCCACTTTTATCCTTTAGCTTCAGATCAGAGATACTTGACTACGTGGTATAACTCTCAAATGCACATTTAAAGCAGATACGTGTCTTTTAGACCTCATTCCTACAAGACTGCTCAAAGAAGTCCTACCATTAATTTGTGCTTCAATAACTTACAGGGACTAGAAAGAGTAGACTAGAAAGAGAGAGCAGATTTCTCCTATATTGGCTTATTGGCTCCATGTTATATCCCAGATCTAAAGGAAAATCCTACTCCTCACATATGAGGTCTAGAATAATCAGGCCCTGTGTCCTCTTAATGACCTCATAGTACTGTATCACCCCAATAAGCACTTCGCTTTCAGACTGCTTTACTTGTGGTTCCTAGAATATTTAAGTCGAATGGAAGGCAAAGTCTTTAGCTTTCAAGCCTCACACATACTATTTTTTATATTTAAAAATTTAAAAATAATTACAAATTTTATTCTTAAGATTAGCCTTAAAATTTTCATTCCTTAGTTATGCTGCAATAGGCCCAGGCCACTAGATGTTTCCCATGATGCATTGAGTGTTTCTTCTTCACTCACATTTTTTTCACTTACGCTTACCACCAATCTGCATTTAATTATTAGTTATTATGGTCACACTTTCTATTACAGGTCAGTAATAAAGTGGTAATAGTAGGGTAACAAGACAGAAACAAGAACATAATAATGTGTAATAATTTCTAAATTACTACCACTTACCAAAGTAATCACACTTAATATCCAAGTAATATTGTGCCAGCAATACTGGTTACAGTTGAGTGATATTATCCAATTATATCAATTTCAGTGTAATAAGGGCCCAAAAACTGGTGGCAATAATGTGTAACCACAGATTGGTAATAAAGTGGTTATAATAGGTTAACAAGGGAGAAACAAGAATGTAATAATAATTAATTCACAAATTGTAATGTTCATTTTATTTTTTATTTTATTATTATTTTTTAAATAGGACAGTTTGCATCTGTGAAATTGTTGCTCAGTGACCTGCCAGTGATATCATGCTTGCTTTAACACAAATATATTTCACATTTTTTGAATATCTTCCTGCAGGAGAGACTGGATTTTTGGATGGTTTGAGGTCAACCAGTGATGAAGGCCTATGCAAATCTAAGGTGTTCATAAGTATTATTCTTTAAACCTTAATTATTAGCATTTTGTGTTTATTGTTCATTCCAGACTCAGTTATCAGTACCATGGTATTAAATTCCTGCTTAGAACACAAAACCCTGCAGTGACTAACAGAAAACACCGGCGACAGTTTCTAAGTTTGTATTTAAAAGGTTATTAATATGTTATTAAATAGAGATGGGCAGTTTTGCATTTTGCATCTCTGTTTCCTACTTATTACCACTCGATTACCTGTGGTACCTTCTGAGTAATAATTTCTTAATTAACCCTTTAAGACCCACCATAGAACCAAG